GCTATTTAGACGATCAAAATTCCGTCTTTTATGCCAATCATCACACTAACGCCTTCACTCTTACTTTATCCTTAACAGAAGGACGAGCGGGCATTGCCTGGGGACCTTCTAGCTATAAGATGCTCTTTCTCCCCCCCAGATATCGAAGTGTCTCTCACTTCTCCCCCACCAATTTCCTCTTTCTCTCTCTCTTTGGCTTCAAAGCGCCTCTCGTTTAAAAAAAAGGTTCGTTCTGTGCCGTGTATAAATACGAAGTGGTTGGCTGGTTTTGATACTGCGCGTACCCAACTGACGACACACAAGACAGCGTTTATGAGAAACTTGAACGTGTCTTAGGTCAGTTTCCTATATCTGACAAGCACGCATGCGGGAAATGAAGATGTGTACACAATTTTTGTTAGAAAACCTGCACGGAGTACTAGAAACAGATGGAAGATTATTAAACTTGATATTAAATAAGCATGGTGTGAGGGTATAAAATGGATTAATTTGGTTCACTGAATTTCGGAATTACGTATTTAAGTTTCACGTGAAGACGACCGTTCAAAAAATGTCAGATTAACCAAATACTTCGACTTCTCTTCTTGGTATCCGTCACGAGACCTTACTGATATGGCAAAAACATACATTTACACTTAGAAACACGTTTAAACCTTGAAAGGTAAGTATTCGTACCACCTTTCAGTACAGTGTCTCTGGATGCCACTCGCAATACATTTATAAGATTTAATTGGTTCTCAGAATAAAAAGCTAAAATATCCTACGGTTCACTAAATATCTGCGGCCAATATTTTAAGAGTAAGAACTCCATTTATTAAATATTTTTGGCGAAATTTGTAATTTGAACGGTTAAATTAATGGCGGCACCAACCCCGCTGTAATAATAATAATAATAATAATAATGTGTTTACCTTTCCGGTAGTCCGTCCGTGAAAAGATGCATTTTCTTCTGACAAAAGAAATTCTGATTGACCATGTCGAAATCAATTCACAATTGCAGAAAAATAAACTCACTGCATTAAAAGAATGCCACTCTGCACAATATTGCGTTCGGTTTTACGACACAGACGAATTCTAAACGACATGATTGAATCATACGCGCGAGAGAGCGAGATCTTCCAACGAATACGATACGTCGTTAAGAATTACTGGGTCATCCCTGCCCTCATTTACGTATCGTTTGCATCACATGGCCTTCGTTGTAAGTAACACAGTTCTAATTTTGACGCAAAAGTCGACGTAAAATGGTTTACAACAATATGGAAGGCCTATATAAACAGACTCTTAATTCAAATTATACGTATTTCAGTTCTGTACCTGCTAACAACTCTTAACAAAAGCCACCAAGTCACGAGTGTTGGATTAAAACTAGTGTCATATTCCCTCCGGCTTACATAAATTGACGACTAATCAGTAAATCGCCAACACGTAATGCATTTTCTGTTTTAACGTTTCTGCATCTCAACTTTCTTGAAGCCCACAGAGTTTAAATGTTTCAGAAATACATTGTAGGTGCCATCTTCCCGAAACGTCCGTATTCACTGCTAGGCGACTGACATCCAGACATGCACGAACAGCCCCTAAATAAATACACAAATCCGCTTAAAAATCGCTTCGCCCAATTACATTTTGATGGATAACACAAACAGTTTCCGAGTCCCGACAATGCTCACGTGCTGTGCAACAATACACGTTTGTCTACACAAAACAGTCATGGTGAAGTAACCACATAATGAGGAGAAAGACGGGGGGCCCATGGAGGGTCTACCGGTAGATAAACAGCGAGAGAAATTACCATGGAAGGCATACCAGTTCAAACCGCTTCGAGTCTAATTCATCCCCACTCTATATACTTCGCGGCATCAATCTCCCCCTCTGACTGTCTCTCCCCGCCACAAAAGCTGATATCTTTCTACGCGCATGCGCAGAAGTTAATTACACGGAAACCGCACACGAGGCTGGGAAATATCGCTCTCATAAAACATCTAATCATGTACGAAGAAATTGTGTACACCCCTCGACAATGAAGCCAGAAGACACTTCATGCAAGGAAAATCCCACGACTGATATAAAGATTTTGTGCGACTGAAAGAAAACGTCAAACTGTCTGTGTTAGCAGTACAAGTTTGGCTAACATCGTAGCTTGGGGGTGGGCATGGAGTCTCCCCCCCTCCCTCCCGTCTAATTTCGCCTGCAAACATGGTCCAGTTTACAATGCATTTTATCTGATCTGTTCTGCTGCGTTCTAGTTTGTGGAATATTCTTACTTCTTCCAATTTTTATTCCGATACAGCGAGGAAAATTTGTGGTATTTCAGCCGGGGTGAGGGGGGGGGCGGCCGATTTTAGCTGGTCAACTTAACGGAAACAATGGAACTTCTAAAGTATTTCCCGTGGCTTCTACATTAACAGGACGGACCTTTTATTAAACTAGATCAGTTTTCGCACCTCCAAAACCTATAAAGGATTCGGAAATAACGCGGTAGTAACCAAATGACCCTCAAAGTTCGGCAGCTTTTGGCCTCAAACACCATGGCCGTCATCCCGCACCCTCCTTATTCGCCGGATTTAGCTCCGTGTGACTTCTTCCTCTTCCCAAAGATGAAAATTCAGCTAAAGGGAAGGAGATTTGAGACGATAGAAGAGATTCAGGCAGAATCGCAGATGGTGCTGGACAGGCTGACAAAGAAAGATTTCCAGGGATGCTTCAAGGCTTGGCAGCGGCGCTGGGATCGTTGTGGTCACTCCCAGGGGAACTACTTCGAGGGTGATGGATGAATTGAATACCTGAGATAAGTGTACGGGTTGTTATACGCGCAGTCTGGAAACCTTTCGATCGCACGTCGTATGTGTACTTATTGGCAGGATAAACATTTTTTTAAGTGCTGCAGTTTTAGGTAATGTTAGGATTATAAAACTGAACAGATCTTACCTGACAAATATTTGTTTTATCATCGGCTATAGATATTCCAAGTAATAATCCTTGGCACAGAACGAGAACAACATTCTGTGTCAATACAGGTCCAAATCAATATGTTCGAAAAACACACGACGATTTGCAGAGGGGGCTAGTAATATTTTGAACAAACAAGCCCCCTTTTATTAACACATTAACATTTCGCAATCCACTAAACCTCGATGCGACAGGCACTGAATTGTCTGAAAAAACAAGGTTACGTTCGTCTGCACGCTTTCCTGTCATGGTTCTGGCGACGAGGTGACTGTAGCCACGTGGGATCAAACTGGGGACCCTCAAGTCGTAATTGAGTGGTTATCACCGCTGCTTTATACACGGGAAGGTCCCGGTTTCAAATCTCCGCCCCGAAAAGCAGCTATCCTTAAGATCTTAGTGGTTTTCCTCAGTCCCTCAGCCTAAAACTCACAAGTGGTCTCCTCTCTGCTGGTTTTCCGACTAAGATTTTGAATGCATTTTTCATTTCTCCCACGCGTGCTACATTCCTCGCCCTTTTCACGCATCATGACTCGATCACTCATAACCTTTTATTCTGAAAACCCTGAATTCCATGTTCGAAATAGCCAGAAGGGGAATGCAAAAAGATTATAAACATTTCCAGGAACACGATCTCCACTAAATTTCGACGAGGATTTATCTTTTACTAGTAACTGCAGTTACCAATTATTTGAACTTTGCTTGTCAGATATTTTCGAACGATTTATTATTACTCATATTAGTCGTTCTGACGTCATTAGAGTAATCAGTTCCTCAATGCTGTGTGGTTACATAATTCTCCTCCGCGGACCATAACAAAAACTCTTTCTGCCCTCGCCACCAACCAAAGCACCTCCTGTTCTCTTAACTTTAACTTTCAGCCGGGTTGTCACAGTTCGTCTCGATGTACCGGATATCCCGCCTGGTTTTCGGGTTCAATCTCTCCCCCCCACCCCCAAATTCTTATATGATTCGGTTAGTTCCTACAACAAACCATCTTTACAACACACCACGTCTTTTCATTCCACAATTCACAATCACAGTTCCATCCGACGCTTCACTATCAAAAAATTGTAATTCAGTACGCAGACTAACCTTCCCAGTCCATGACCTTGTAAAATCAGACTGTATATCGAAGTAATCATAGAAATCATTTATCACTGACATGACCGCTCTTACAGCACAAGGAATCTTGGGTTTTCCACGAGTGACACGACAAAAATCCTCGCATGTATCAACCGAAACACACACATCACCTGGGAAATCAGCTGATCTGTCATTTATTGACAAACACGTTTAAATACCTGAAGAAGGCAGCCCTTTGGGATGTTTCGCCGTGCAGTTTCCCAGAAGCTGACCGACGTTGCAGAGTTTACAGAATCCCATCACCAGGTCCATCGCAATCGTCCTGATTATGGAGGCAGAAGGTACGTCCGAAACGTCGGTCAATTTCACGAGCAACATCCCTCATATTCGTCCTCGCGAAAACGTGAAACCTCATCAGGTCTTTGTACCGATTCCTTATTCTTTCAGAATACAGTTCTCACTTTGCCTGTAATCGTAATTTCTTTACGATCTAAAAATCACGAGTCACTGATAATCAATTCTACCAAACGCACCTGTTAAAACGTTATCACAGGCCTATATATTATGTGAGCTGTTCATTTCTGTTTAACAAAATGATGTTATTCCTAGTTTTATCATAAAGTAGCATACACGACGTGCTTATGTTCAGAATGTACATTATTTATGAAACACCGTGTAACATTCTTTCTTCAGTGATGGAAGAAGGGAGGTGAAGGGAGACCAAAAAATTGTAGGAACATTTATTATAACTCTACTTACCAAAGGCGGGGTTCTTGTACTGACAAAATCCACGAAAGCACTCACTCACCTCATGTTATAGGGTGCTCCGCTCAGGTCGACCCCCAGCCCGGAAAGACTGCCGTCGAGGTCAGCTGCGAGATTTTCCGCTATGTCCTCAACCTGCCAGCTACTCATCCTACTCGCAGACGACCCTGCAACACAACACTGAGAAGTCACAGAAACAAGAAATGGACTCTACATTTTGATTGGATAACATCAGAACAGGAGGCAACTTGAATTACCGCCTGTTAACATTTAATCACAGCCGAAGTTCATCCACACAATAATTTAGCCAGAGAACGTGAAGGAGAGACCTCGTCATAGTTTGAAATTAAATATTAAAATTAAACTTACATGAAACGTGGGCCGGACTGAACTACACATTACGGCCTTGATCTCAGAAAATTTGGCGCGAAAACCATAGATTTTTTTTTAAAAAAATTAAATTCCGCGGGTACAACAAATTTAAAAATCGCAGTTGGCAAATCACCTGCAGCAAACGGGGGTTGGCGTGAGAAACTGCCGGGTTAAAACGGGCCTTCCAACGACTGGGTGCCTCTGAAGAAGTGAACTGATAGCCTAATGAAGAGATTCCAAAGACGGACCTCCGAAAACACTACGATATAATTTTTCTCTATATAAAAGCACTTGAATTACCAACCATCATCCACTATTCAAAGGCATGGCGACAGGTCATTTGTTTGTTGGTTTGTGATTGGTCAGTACAATTCACAAACAAGACTCGTGACGTCGCTGTTTAATTTATATATGGACGTGTAGAACTTGTTCGGGATCATATCACGATTAATAGCGTTTGGCCAGAATGCCTAAACAAACAAAACACGCTACTTTGACAGAACTCAACTCAGATCTACAGAGATTGTTTCATTCATGGAGATTGCCTGATGAGTAAGTTTCTGATATTGAAATTAAAAATTATAGTCAACTAGACCAGTGGTATTCAAACTTTTTTGTTCGCGTACCCCCAGATATAAATTCTCTTCCAACTTTGTACCCCCAAAGTCGTTGGTGTGTAATTAAAGTTGTACATAGTATATAATCTACATCTGAAATAAATTAAATAAATTACATTACTGATTATTCAGTGTTTATCATAAAATATAAAATAATATATATTTTTTTAAAATTTCACGTACCCCCTAAGATGTCTTCGCGTACCCCCAGATATAATTTCTCTTCAACTTTGTACCCCCAAAGTTGTTGGTGTATAATTCAAGTTATACATAGTATATAATCTACATCTGAAATAAATTAAATAAATTACATTACAGATTATTCAGTATTTATCATAAAATAATATATTTTTTTTAAATTTCACGTAACCCCTAAGATATCTTCGCGTACCCCCGGGGGTACGCGTCGCCCAGGTTTGAATACCACTGCACTAGAGGAATCGTTCAAAGGCAAGCCAATCGGATATTTGAGACCGATGAATCAAATACAAAAGTTATTTCGGAGACATACGAGTGATTCTGGACGTTGGTATCACGCAATATTGGAAGATACTGAGGAAAATCGAGAAAATAACCGGGTGTCCGCTGAACGCTGGTCAGACGCGCCCGTCCGGTGACAGTCTGTTCGGAATCACTGGATGAACGCGTTCTGCAGAGGTCAAAAGGAGGAATTGAAAAAAAAAACTGAGATGTTTTTATCAGATGCAGAAATAGAATTATTTGATAACGTTGCATTTACAGCAGATCGAGTGTTAACAGAGATAGGAATATCGAGATAATTCAACAGGTCTCGGGAACAGACTGATAACAGCTGTCTGGTAAGGCGTGCTATGTGGTTCACTGAAATTGTGACAGATGCACCTTGATTTATTTATCAACAACTCCAAGAAAACACCAACATCCATACCATCACGCGAGTAACTAGCTCCATGGTACAGACACCTTCCTGAGCTAGTCAAGAAATCCTTTCATTACCGCGCTCACAAAAGCCCGCCGCTGGATCCCACGCTATTAAAGTTCAGAAATCTAATACCGTCTGCGGACAATCTGGAGTGGACGAGGATGTCTGCCTTCCATCAAAACGCTTTCAACCATGCAAGAGACTTGCGAGAAATGTAGATTAATAATTATACAAATTACCGCTTTGAGTCTATTCACCACTAAACAAACAATTTATCCAAGGAACTGGTACGATTATACAGAACGAAGAGACAGAAACTGATTTTCAGAAACAATCTTTACGTACTCTCCGAATGGAAAACAAGAGACGGGAAAACCTAGGAAATGACGTACAGTCCAGTTCCAACAGATCGCACCTGGAGTCGGTGCAGACTAATAATTATAATCCCCCGAAGATTACGTACGACGACGGCGTCTTCGTGTTTTTCAACTTCCGTTGTAGAAAGTTAAGTCCTCGAAAGAATCTTAATAAAAAAAGAAATATATATATATATATAAAAATGCCTGCACCTCATAAAAGTGTAAACCACGTATCCCTGACGATGTAGGCAGAAACTGCACCCGAAACACTGGAATTCTTCTCCGATTGGCGGTCTCCAGAAGAGTCGGTTTAGACAGTGTGGCGAGGAGAATTTTTTTTCCGGGAATCGAACCCCTGTCGTCATGCTTACACAGGCTAGTCATACTCGGCTACTTAAACTAATCATTTACTATAAAAATTTCTGATTCCGCGTTGTCTTCAAGAAATGACGTCATCAAACAGCGTTATCCATAGCCGAGTCACCTTTAAATGTTCATTCCTCAGGAATGGTAAGGGTAAGGGTAATGTAACCTATATGTAAAATGATCAGTAAGTAAAGACCTTTAAGAATCTGTAATGTATTTTGTTGTAATTATAATTGTTTATATATTTATTGTAATTTTAATGAACCAATGTGTGCAATTTTCAATGCATCTGGCGGCGTTAAGCGCCCGCCTCTCGAAAACCGTAAGAGATGGATCTGGACATATTGCGTACGAAATACGTATTACCTCTTGAGATTTCCAAATCGGTTTTCAGATTTTACATACCACAAATGGTTTAGGTTCTACAAACATTTATTTAGCGCAATCCACTCGCGTCATTTCTTTACTTGGCAACTTGAGTTCATTTTCTTCACTACAGGAGGCAGAACAGTCACGACTTTAACGCCTCTCTCTAAAGGAGCTCCGAAAGGAGCGCTTTGCTCTAGTGTATATAAAAGGGAGTATTAAAAAAGTTAGGTCACATGTGTCGACCAGTTTCACATTACCAGAGCCAGTTACTGATCTGATAAAAAAAAATAGCAGGCACACGTAACTTAATTTATGAACTCGGTAACACAGCCACTACGTTTACAAATTGAAATACAACCCAAATGAAATATGTCGACGAAATTATGACATAATTAGGTCTCGTATACGTCCCGCTGTTTAAAATATGTTCACGTTTATACAGCAGACCCTTCAAACTTAAGCAGCTTAAGGGAAACTGCTTGACAATCGCGGGTTGTGGCTTGTTTTGCGTCGATCAATCGATTATCAACGCTCAGCTGAAGCAATATAGCTTATTTACTTAAGAAAAAGGAGCGATAATTTCCGGCGGCTGCTACAATTTACCCCTGACACAGCCGCCAGCTCAGTCAGAGGCAGAGCGACGTAAGAACCGACTTCAGAATTCAAAATCTGTTCTAACCCGAAACGTCGCTCTCAAAGTTATTTCCAGCAGAACGCAACGAAACGTGCGATTACAGTATTTCGTGCACTGCAGCAAAGCTCAGTCAGTACAGCAGCTAAGGAAGTGAAAGGACGATGCTTACAGATTAATTTTGAGGGGTGTAAAGGCTGGAACACATCCTTCGGAACCCTGTTATCAATTTCTGACCACAAGGCGTTCTGTGTCAGAGGGTTTTGGAAAACGAACTGAAACCAGAGACCAATCACCAGATAGTTCTAATACACAGCATCAGATGGCAGTATTGTGCAGAAAAAGATGGAGCGGTCGTTCCTCTGACTCGTCAAGGTCACAATTGTCACTCTCCAAACACGTGCCTGACGGAGAGTGACGTCACTGTCGCAATCAACTCCAATGTACAGAGAAACTAACATCATGTTTGCTGAACACGGAATCTCCAGCCACTGCGTGCCTTGCCTCCACGCCCCCCTCCCCCCGTCATGCTTGGGAACAGCATCGACGATATCCTCTGGGATGTTGCGCCGTGTGATCTGGAGGCTTTGCAGACGTTTCAGAAGTCGCCCTGAAGATGGAGCCAGCAAGGACCTCTTATAAGCTGTTGAAATAAAACCTGCCTTTCGAGATAAGGGGATGGATTACTTTAAATTAAACTCTCCGTAAGAAAGAATACCCCACGAAACTTAAAGTTAATGGACCTCATTCAACCTAACCTAACCCAACCCAACCTAACATAACCTAACCTAACCTAACCCAACCTAAACATTTAATTTAATTCAAAGTGAAAGCAACAGTATCACCAATTTCGATTGAAAATCACCAAGGTACCCGTTCTTTCTACATTCCCATGGTTAACTTACAAGAGATTAGTGTAAATGTTAAGAGATGGCAGGATATGATGATTTGTTCCTTCATGTTCCACACAGAAGTAGAAAGGACTAGTTAGGAGGCAACATATCTCGTTAGTGTCACGAGAAGTGTCAATGCTGAACACAAGTGTCTGCAGCGAAAATATGGGAATTAATTCCTTAAACAGCTCCACGAGCAACGAATGTCTCAGAAAGTCACGTTAATTTTTTTTATGAAATCAGAAGTAGTTCTTAAATAATAAATTGAGGTTATGTAATTTCAATACATAAATCGTTCCCTCTGTTATCATTACAAAAGTGTCTCAATAAGATACTCTGTTTATACACACACACAGTTTGAAGCTGACAAAAGTATTTTTAGAATTAACTAACCGTATGACATGTCTCCTCTTCTCATTTCCCAGACAACTAATTCTGTTCGCGAAACCTCACTTAGCACACTTCGTCAAATATCGAAGTCCGCCATTTCTAGGGCCGTGAAAGCCATTCCGTCGGAACGCGTAGAAAATATCTTATCTACAGCACGTGCTTGCTTCAGAAATGTAGAGATTCGATGGTACATAAAATACGTAGAAAAAATAATAAAAAGGCTTTATACACGGCCTTTGAGCCCAGTGTTCGATAGACATTAGGCTCTTACACAACGGCCATGAACACGACAAACTGTCTGGATCCGCCATCTGAGAGCAAAGCTAAGAATTATCTGACGTCCACCGCCAGTGTCCCATCAGCGAGCACGCAGCAAAGGATTAAGATATTTTACCCAGCAGCCCTGAGGATGAGAGCAGAGATTGTTCTCGAAACGTTGATAGAAGATACGGTTTATCCACCGTTTAGCCACGTGACGCGGATTGTAACCCAAGAGTAAATTATCTGTTGGTGGTAAAAGAATTCCTCCATAACCAACTATGATGGCTTACGGAACCCTAAGGTTCATCACCGAATCAACCAAAGCCCTCCACCGGACCCTGTCCTGGGCCAACAAAATCCAGTCTCCTTCAACTCCTATCTCCCATAGATCCCGCCTGACATTTTCCTCCCATCTACGTCTAGGTCTCCCCAG